GGCAGGCGGCCAGGCTGGCTGCTGCTTGCCAACGGCACGTTTTCGAAAGTACGTAACTTTTACAAACCGATCCCACGTGCTTACAGCTTCTTGTTGTGTTGCAGTTAAATTCGACATAAACAGAAGTTACGAAAAAATTAACCAAATAAAAGAAGAGCTGAGCAATGCAAAAATAAAATTAGAAAACAAGGTAAGCTGGCAACGTTTATAGAATATATAATAATGACACACAGTATTTTTACAAGTATACGATCTGTACTTTTCTATGAGTAAGTTCATAAACACTTCCAAGAAGTATTCATCTCCTGAGTACCTCAGCGTTTAACAATTTTACAACACGCATTTCTGTAGTGATCGTTATCAGCACGTCCATGGGCTTCGCATGAAAAAAAGTCCTGTCAGTGACTTTCCTCTCTCGCAGACCTCACTGCTGAGGCTGAGCCCTGGGCATGTGCAAGGACCCGCTCACCTCAGTGGCAGGAACATTTCCAAACGTCAGCTCCAAAGTCCCTAATCACTGAACACAGCACTCTCACGTATGCAAGTCGTACCTGGTCCCCAGAAAGAGCTCGGTAGGGAGCAGATCGCCACTGTTAGCTCAGTCCGTCCACGAAAAACGGACACCAGAAGTCAGCTGCAGGACAAATTAACCGTTTCGGTACAGTCTGAGCAGCCTTGACATAACAGTCTTGGAGCCTGGTGCAGCATTTTCTTTTTTAACGTGCGCATTCATTCAGAGGCCTGGAAATCATTCCTTCATCGTCCACTCCAACTCATTAAAAGCTTTATTTGTTTCACAGAAAATATATGAAAACATTCCCAGCGTTTACTTCCCTGGATCTAGAGTCATACATCAAAATCGTCTGGTGAGCCTATGCTCACGGTTATGCTAGGCCTAAGAGTTTCATTAGTGATACTAAAGATAGGAAAGTTTCTAAGTCTACTTAGAGTTTTTAAGATCTTATTATGCTTTCCCTTTAACCAAACAGCAATCTGATTTTTAGATTACGCTTCCAAGCAACTGCAAGCTTTTTCAGCATTAATACTTGTTGCTGCAAATGATTTAAAAAATTCATTCACTTGTGCCTGAAAATGAAGTCTAAATATCATCCCTTGTGCTCTTAAGTATCCGCACTGGCAGAATGTGAATGCTCAATAGGAAAGCATATGGAGCCTCCTCTGAAGTTGGCACTGATGTGTCCTATTACTTAAATAGACATCTACAAGAACACTTGGAGAACTGCCTCAGCTCATTAAGAAAATAAATGTTTGGGGGATGAATGTCATTCTCCCACAAACAGGCTATTCTGTCTTTTGTTAAAAACTATATACAATATATAATACGCATCAGCATCACTGTGATGGGGTCAGAAGAAAAGAGAGAAGTCATTTACAATATTTACTAGTTGCAAATTGAGTCTATAATCTTGCAAGTAGTTATTCACAAGCTTACATTTATGCATGCCATAATCACAGGGCCCAGCAGAGCTTTAGAATAGTAACTGTTATTTAGCCAACACAAATTGTATTTGGGTGGTATTTGTTAGGTAAAGTCCTTTGTAGTCTGCTCATAAATTAATTTATGAACACCACAATTTTATTTGTATACTGCTAATTTGTTATTGATTCACTGTGATTTATAATCAAGGTTTATGTGGTAGGTATAAATGGTCCCAAGAGTAGAGCCATTATTGTAAATGACTAACGGGAAGAACTGAAGAACCATTCCTAATTAAATCTTGTGTGCCCTTCCCACCAGAATTAATAATATTCTTACTGGTGTCCACAAAAATATTTTTTACTTGCCTGTTTAGTCTGACATTGACTGATTTATAAAAAGGAAATGATATAGAAAATAAAAAGAATGCAAAAATGCATTTCAATCAGATTGTCTTTAGGTTTAAAGCTTCAATATAGTTACTGATACTAAATTATTTAAAGTAATTTATTGTCCACTACTGGAATTAATATTTATTATTTGCATTTTAACTACCATGCACTTTTATGGTAGTTAATATAATTCAAATCATATTAAAAAAGGATGTTCAACTAAATTCCTGCACCAAATACCTGCACATCTTCTCTATAAGCATATATACCCACACATATGCATGCAGAGAGGCTTATTGCTGAGCAAGCAAGATGAGTCTGAGTTCAAAAGTGTTCTGTCATCTATTTCACAGAGACTGCCTGTGGTCAATCAAAGGTTCCCAGGAAATGCTATTTTTTCCCTGTGTTCAGTAAAATCAAGTAGCATGTAATTAGAATCTGAATTATAGCATTTTGTCTTTCATGGCTCAATGATTTCTTCAAGAAAATCTGTTGCAAATGCATAGATTATATAGGCACTGTATGGATGAAGAAACGACACTGTGGCTAGTTATGTTCAGCAATATAAATTTAGTGGAATAAGACCACCTACTCTCTTTGAATTAGTATGTAAAATAAATATTTTTGAGGCAAGCACCTCCTTGACAATCTGCCTGTCAGACATATCAGGGACAACGAAAAAATCTGATTCCTTCCTTTCCAACTCTCTTATTCTAGTTTCGTCACATCTGACTCCTGTCCTCCTCCTTTTTGATCAGATATACTTCATCTGTACCCTCTCCAAAGTCATCTATATTATTTACAGATCTTTTGTTTTTTGCCTTTGTAATATCCTTACTAATTGGTCTTTTCTCCTTCTGCAAACACAAACAGTCATGTATCACCCTGACCCTTCGGTTTATTTCCTGATACCTACTCTGTGCCTTTATGGTCTGCGGGCAATTGTGCTGCTAACTTTGGTTTCCCTACTCATTGTTCTGATTATTAGAGTTTGAATTGTTCTCTTGACCTCCTCTTCTCCACTACATCAGATGAATATTTCTCATCCTTTAGGACTCTTCAACAATTAGCTGTTTCCTATTTACCTGCTGTTATAATTTATCCCACCATATATCTTCATTTAGGTTAAATAATGATATAGTAGATATATTGGAAAACTAAGAGGTATTTTTCAGAAAATTTTGAAAATGCAATGGTTGAACAGCATAAACTACTCTTTAAAACAATTAAAACTAAAAAATAAAACTATATGCAACGTAGCAGCTTGGGTTTATTTGTGGTCTATGGTCAAATTGTTTTCAGCCCATGAGCAATCTTTCCACGCTTCCTTGGCTGAGAATTCCAGAAATTGCACTCAGAAAAAATGAGCATATCTCTCCCTCCTTCAGCTACACAATACTAGTATTGCAGAGTTGATGACATATACAGCCATTCAGATAACCTCTTTCACAACAGTGAACTTGGAAGTCTGACCCTCTGATGTTATTGTCTGGTTTAGTATGTGATGAGCTGGACCATTGGATGGAGGACACTGTATTATGTTGCGTATGAGATTCAACGTGATCCCTTTTTTCCCTATTTTAACCTGAAAATATTTCTTCTAAATTGGAGAAAGTTTAGAATGCCCTTTCAGAGAGACTGACTGGCACTAAATCTGGCTTTTAAAGAGAGGATACTTCTCCTAATTTTTATGGAATATTGGAAGCTAATGAGGGGAAAAAAAGAGCTATTATGTTTTTGCTAGTCCAGCAGCTATGCTAGCTGTTTTAACTAGATAAAAATCCTGTTGTCCAATATCAAAATATATGAACCAAGAAAACAATATCCTCATTATAAAACCTTTTTTTTTTCCTCTTGAAAGGTTCAGCATCTTTCTGAAAAACTCTTCTACTTAGAACTTCTGAAGAAACGTGAAGACATCTTAGAAAAACAGAAAGCTGAATTTACTACTCAAAAGAGCGTTCTTCTTAAAATCTTGGTATGTTTCCAGCTACAATATTCAGATGATTCATCTCTACTAAACTGCACGAGTGTAGTCAGCTTTAAAATTTGAAAATATGAAAGAATTCATGTTATAAATCTCAACAATCAAATTATTTTTTGGCTCTAGCATATTTAACAATATAAATGTAAATATATTCTCACTTTTAATTTAATCCATGATTTTCAGTAATGTGTACTCCAGATTACCGACAGAGATGATTTAACATTCTTAACTTTAATTTCTAATGTCTGCTGTTAAATGACTGAACTCCAATTCTCATATATTATTTACTTGCAAAAGAAAAGTAAAAAAAGAAACCTTAAATTGGATTGCATCATCCACAATAAAACATATGCAAAGGATCCAAGGAAGATCTCATGAAGGTCAGCACCACATTTTAGGAAACCTGAGATTTCACACAGCCTTTTTAATGTTAGAATTAACTACACCTATCGAGAATTGCCTAGGCCACTTCTTAAAAGCGAGCTCTTCACAACATATACAGACGACAGGCTTGCCAGTTCACTCTTACGCTAACCTGCACCTGAATATTGCCTTCCTCTTCCTTAATTGTGGATCTTTGGATCTTTAGATACTAAGCAAGGCCATAGAAGAACTGTCTGCACTGCATATGTGTTAGTACTTCAAATCAGCAGAGCTGAATTTTGCACGTTCAGCATGTTTCACCTGGATTACTCCTAACATTTATGCAGATGTCCTTATAATTAAGTAATATTCCTTCAGCATCCAAAGTATTCTCAATCCTAAAAATAAGAAGAAAGAAAGAAGAAGAAATAATGCAAATATCATAGTAATATTATTTCCTTGTAACAGCAAAATTGCTGGCATCTGATGAAATGTAAATTTTCTTCTAGTTATAACCAGTTAGGTTTAATGTGTACATTATCGTTTCTTTCTTCTTGTATATAGAGTCATTTCTTTTTATTTCATTCAACAATCAGTTAACATTTTTAAAAGGAGTTTAATATTGTCCTTGTCTTTAGCATATTTTTTCCAGAAAATAAAATAGTGACTCCCTATCACATACAGTTTTCTTGGGAGTTATCAAGAGAGTTATACTGCATCTGCATTCTGCAGAGGAATAAACAACACCTCTATTTAATTTAAAAGCAATCTAAAAAAGAGTGGCTGTATTATGCTACTGATTTGAAACAGAACTTTCTATGAATTTCACTAAAGACTGGAACTTAAAAACTGCTGGTGCAAGGTCTATAATATAATTAAGCCATTTTTTAAATGTTTGCATATAAGGAATATACCCATTTACCTCGTCAGAAAAGCAAGGTTAAAACAGCAAACTAAATGATAGTTGTAGACCTTCTTCATGTTATCGTATGTCAGGAAAAGTAAATATATTGTTTTTATAAAGTGTAAGGGTAAACAACGACAGTGTGTTTCAGCGTGCCTCTCTTTTTCCACCTGAACATTTAATCTGTCCCTTATTTTTCCAGACAGATGCAAAGAGAAAAATGACTGAAGAAGAAGATAATTTTACTAGGGAGCTAACAGAGTTTAACAATGAATATGGACTAACAAGTAATAGAGATCTTCTGATTAAAAAAAAAGTCAAGATTGAAATAAATGATTTAGAGAATGAGGCAGCTCTCTTAAAAAGTGGTAAGTCTTACACTGAAGGATTTTATCTTAGATTACCAGAGAATACAAATCGGTAAAATAAAGCTCTGCAAAACATTACTTTTAAAACAACTTCTTGTCTGGACACTCTTAGCACCAAACTGAAAGAGTGATCTGACCTACCACAGATCATACTACCATAATTAGCCTCTTATACACCTCACCCTCTTCAGTCCTTTCTGACAACGAGTGTTAGGAGAAGAAGCAGACCTACAAAAGGTGCTTCCAGTGTCTGATATTACAGTCAGCACAGAGATGCACTGCCATACATAATGTACCACATTAGGTTTGCAATGATTATACTTACTTACGGTTAACTTATGTAAGTGTCCTTAGCTTCAGTAAGCACTGTATACACAGATATCATGTAGGACTGGTCTTTTACAGCCACTGCATAACATTATCTTTGAGTGAAGAACCAGAATACGAGATTTCTCAGAACAGAGAGTCAGACTGAAAAGCAGTCATATAGCAAGGAAATAGGGTTGTCATGGATCGCAAGCTGAACGTGAGTCAATGATATCAGAAAGCCAACAACATACTGAGATGCATAAACATAATTCTAACCTCTAAAACAAGCAAAATAATCCTTTGCTTTATTTAGGGCAGTTAAGCTCTTAGCTGGAGTACTGTGCATCCAGTTTTGGATTCTGCACTTCAAGACTGGTGTGAACCAGCTGGAGAGCAGTGAGAATGATCAGAGATCTAGAGGACATGACGGGGAAAAATGGAGAGAATTGGGACTACTCAATCTATGGAGGAAAACACTGATGGAAGATTGATATCAGTCCTCAGATCTCTAAAAGGCTTCTGTAAAAAGGAAAGCAATATATTCTCCACACTCGTAGTGAACTGAATGAAAAGTAACAGGCATAAACTGCAGGAAGAGAGTGTCAGGCTAGCTATTTGAGAAATCTTTCTAACAGTAAGAACAGTGAACAAAGGAAGCAGATTGCCATAGGAAACTGTAGAGTCTCCATTACTGAAGGCCTTTAAGAACAGGTTAGACAAGCATCTGTCAGAAATGACAGAGGTATAGCTGATCCTGCCTTCAGGAGGAGGAATGTACTAGATGACCCCTCAAAGTCCTTTCCAGTCTTATGGTTCTATGATTCATCAAATACCAGTACTTTGTATTCCTTGGCTGCTGATGCAAAGTGACTGAAATACAACTGCCTATTTGAGTTTATACTTAATAGTACTCTCATTTCTATTTGATGTGGCTCTGATTCTGATCTGCAAATGAAAAAACAGTCTGTATTTGGTAACGAATGTTATATTTAACAATGAATTTATTTTGATATGATTACATATTCAGACAAATCTGATCAGTCAGATAGTCTCTCTGAGGTTAGATCAGTAGGACGTAAAAGGTGACTAACGTCCTTTTTTGGGTTTGGTTGCTGTCTTGCTTCCATCCTTTTTAAATTGCAACTCTTTTTGAGGTACAGGTTGTCTGGTTTTGTGTCTGCTGCAGTCCTGAGCACACTAGCAGCAGTAAAGAGAAAATGATTAATAACTAAAAACAAGTTACAGTATGTGACATCAACCAGTTGTGAGGGAAACAATCACAATTAACTCCAGATGCTGTCAACATTTTGGTTCAGAAGTCCGTAACACTAAACAAAATATGGGGTTATTTTTAGTCCTGCTGA